ATGACGAGCGGGGTTTTGGAAAACCCTGCTTCTACATCCCGAAAACACAGTCCATTGTTATTCATAACAATATGAATTGGTTTTGTTTAATAGACCACAAGAGATTACGAATAGTGTTCAATACAAGTTGTTTCAAGACATATTTAAAAAAAAACATATTTCAGGAAATTCCAATAGCGAAAAAAATCTTTAGCATCTATTTTGAATAAAAAAAATCATTTAAATACTCCTGGAACTTGTATGTAAATTATACATGAAAACATATAGTTTACATTTGGACTAAGTCTTTATCATAAAAATAAATTTATTAATTTTTGGATTGTTGAAGATAATGATGGCACCCAGGGGCGGATCCAGCAATTTTTAAAAGGGGGTGCTAACCCAGGATTTTTTTTTATAAAACCGTAAGTTACATGTAAAATAAATTTATGATTACCTTTATGGGTTATAAATATTGCGTTATCTTTAGACTCTTCTACCAAATCCAACGCCTGACTGAAAATGTCGTCCGCCCCATACCGACTGATGTACAGAAAGACAGACAGACAGACAGACGGACGGACGGGGTGTAAACCTAAAGTCCCCTTCGACTTCGTCGGTAGGGGACTAATAAGTGATCATAATTTCATGCATATCATACATTGTTTGTATGTGTAAGCTCCTGCACATCTATAAAAAAGATTAATAACAGATTTCAACTAGAAATATATACATCTTGCTAGAAATTAGAACATTATACATGTAAAAGAAAGTCAGGTATTGTTTTGTTTTAATTTTATTTTCCAAAGTCTTTTAAAAGAAAACAAAAATGGAAAATTTGAAGGTTAAGACAAGTATGCAAATCAAATTTAAAGTTATCATGTTAGTACATACATGTACATGTATAGTTACATCATTTTTTTTTGCACACATGAATAAAAGGAGATGTGGGTTATATGGGACAGCAACCCAACATTATTGCAGTTTGTAAATGATTTTCAAGATGTTGTTTCTTTCTGTCATAATTTGGTATCTGTTCAAAATTTGTACATGTATCTAACAATGTAATTTGTTCATGTTTCAGGTCATCAGGCTTTTCTCCAGAACTGTAGTATCACCAATATGTACAAGAAAACACAGCCACCTATCAATGAAAATTAAGCAGTCAAAGGCTCAAAGCTACTTAGTGTTTAACATGATGCTAATGTTTATTTTTTCTGTTCATGGTCAGATCTGCATGCATCATGAAAGAAGTTGCTAAGAAAATATTTTATTCTTGAAAAAAACATGTGTCAAATGGATAGAAATTAAAGTACATGTAAGGACAAGACTGTGAATTTGCAGGCTTCAAAGTGCAATTATTCATATGTTGATATGGTCAATATATTACACTTAACAGTAACATAAGATACAGCACAAAATGTCAGCAGATATTCAGAAAATGGAGTTTGAAAGGCTACATCGCAGTAAGAGAAAAGTGTCAAGATTCACACAGCAAGTGAAAAGGTACTAATCTGTGAAGCTTGTGCAGAACTGGAAAGATTCCTTATTGTATGTCATAGTCAGAATGAAGCTCGCAATTACACGAACTACAATAGTTACCTAAGTTGGATACTTTCATAAAAAGAAAACAGATTAACAACTAAACAAACTAAAGAAATTAGTGCATCCTACTTTAATAAAAATCAAAGATGATATCAGATCTGACCTCATGCACCAAACAGTTAGTGTCTGAAAATGAAAGTGAATTAGTGATGATAGTGAAGACCTACCCAAAATAAAAAGTATGCTCTTCATGGTAGATAATGTGTTTTAGTTGTGAATATGCAATGAGAATTATAAGCCAGAATGAAAATGACAATTCATTGAATATTACAGGGACAATGATATTGCTACTTTTGCTGTTAATAGAAAGTAAATCAGTCTTTGCCAAGTCAGCTGGTATCAGTGATTGTTTTAACTTTAAATTCTATAATGAATTGAATGTGATAATGGGCAACTAAAAAGAAATGTAATGGATACAGTGTAAGCTGTCTTATTGTTTAAAAACAAACAAAGAATGCTAAATTTTGTGTAATTTACATTGAAAAAAAAAAATGATTTTGATGGCTTTTCCTTGTTAAACATTTTTTACAAATTATTCTGTCATCACCTTTTCAACATGTTCAAACCTGACTTGACCAAGCACTTTTAATTTTGGAGACATTACAATATTTAATCTTGACTAGTATTGGGATTTGTGTTTTTCTTATTTCACAGCCTCCATATCAGGTACCATTGGATCACAATACTGATTAACTTGCATAATTACACACAAATGAATGTTCATGAGTAGCATGTAAAATTTCCAACAAAATTACATTTGCAGCAATGTGCTGATTTCTGTGTAAAATGTCCCCACTTATATTTCATTATAATTATTAAAGTACAAACAAAAGCAGGTTCTAGATATACAAATGTACTCAAGGAAACAGCAACTTAAAAGACAAAAAATACCCAAAACGACATTTAGAGGGCAACATAGAGATTACGACAAAAGACAGATATAAAAATAAGGAGATGTGGTATGATTGCCTATATACACAATTTGTCAAGCTTAACTGGGATCTTGCAAGTTTCAATTATTGCCTTGATGTGCTGTATTTTTATCGTGCTTAGCTCTTATTTTAGTTGTCATTTTTTATTGTGTAGTTTTCTTAATTTATATATTAAGCAATTAATTGTCTTTCATGAGATTATTTATGGGTAGTACTTTATTCCTTTTTGGTCATTTTCAGAAGCCTTTGTTCAATTATGGAGTAAAATATTTGCTAAGTTTACAAAACATCATTACTCTTAGACCTTTTACAATGATTTGGATCAATCCTCTTTGCTATTAGTAGTTTCAAATTGGAGAATTTTGATTTTGAATCAAACCGTCTTTTTTTTCATTTGTATAATAGAGCTCTCCATGAGTGCTTTTAGTACTTTGATTTTCTTTTTCATTATAATTTTGCTTTGAATTAAAAAGAAACAGCTGTCGAAATAATAAATCACTTGTTTTGATAATAATTGCACCCTAAATTGTGGATTTGTGTGGAGAAAATGATTCTATTACATGAAAAAATGTATAAAAATACTATTAAAAATAGCCGTACAGTGATATATACTAAATATATTCCTAAATATTTGCTGTGGGTGGATTTTTTATATTTCTTTAATCTATCATAGTAGTTCATGTTGATATATTCATCTTTTAATTACAGCTTCACCTTTTCGATATTTTAGCATTTCTTCTGACCCTAAATTAGGTAAAATAGCCAATTCCTCAAACACCAGTTTTATACATACAGAAGCCCTACTAAAATAAAAAGAAATATATATTTATTATTTTGTCTTTTTATTTCCTTTATAATGCTTTATCACATGAATTGGTCAAAAAAGATATTTATCATGGCTATAACTGATTATTTGTTGGATTTAAATACAAAAAGACCCTTAAATTTAGCAATTTTCCCGTAAAAAAGGGTGAAAATAGATGGCGCTGCAAAACTCGGCTATCCGATAAAATTCAAGCAAAAAAATTTACAAGTGAATCTGGCATGGCCAAAGTGTTGTTGGCACCAAATTCCACCAAATACCTGTTGAAACAAGGATCGGGGATGACGATGGTTCTAACAAATATTGATGTGTTTGTGGTCATCTAACTAAAGGGTCTTAATTCAAAACGAGTACTATAACTGTGTTTTCAACATCTACTCGTCCACGGCAATGAGCTGACTCAACTGCATGTTTGCATCCTGATTTTTTACTTTTTACCTTTTATTTACAAATCGATTTATCGTAATACATATGTGTTTTGCAAATTAAAAGTGTCCAGTGTTATACGTGCGTTTAAAAAGATAGGAGCATTATATGCAACAGTTAAGCGTCTAATATGTGAACAAAAAATTTCGAGGAGAATCAATTTTGGAGCGGCATGCGGACCAAAAATTTGCGGAAGCGGTAAATATTTTTTTTTATTGAAAAGTCAATTTCTCCAAAACAGGAGAGGGAAAATCCAAAGAAATAGGAATCAAATTGGTGTGGTCTTATCATTATTTATATGATTGTTTTGGTAATGTGATATACCGTATTAAGTGACTGATTGCAAGTAAACATGAAAGGTTATAATTCTCATATTAATTCTCTGAAATCCATTACCTAAAATATCGATACCTTAAAGTCTTGTAGATACCTTTACAACCAAATGGAACTGACGGTTTCTGTATGCAAAAGGTTCGTTGCTTTTATAAACTCTATTTTCATGCTAACCTGTCTGAAACTATTAGATTTTGTGTTAGAAGTACAGTGTACTTTATTTGACAGGCTTTGCACGCAACTTTCAGAAACTCCTTTGATTATAATAGAATTGTTTTTTTTTTTTTTTTATTTTATATATATTTTTGGATTACCAAAGTAACACAACTGTCATATCTGCAATTATTATTAGACATTTCATATCCGTAACTTATCATAAGTATTAACTAGACTTTTATCAAATCTTTTCTACATAATGCCTTTTTAATCGTTTTAACTGTTTATTTTTGTTTTTGAGCTGAACAATGTTTTAGGGTATACCATAGCAATATATATAGGCGTTTATATATATATATATATATATTCATTCATAACAAGTCTAAATTAAAAACAACGTTCAAACCTATGATTGCGTTGGATAAAAACCGCAATTTTTATACGTGTGCATGCAAAACAAATTTCTTGGTAGAGGGTTCTAAATACAGCACAAACAACATTTTCCAAAAGACCAAAAAAGTGAAAAAGTATATTCTAACAAAACGCATTTGACTAGTAGGTCTAACAACTGATATCCTTAATATTCATTCATACCTATAGAATGGGGAGACTGACTCAAAAAAGGGTCTATCTTTCTATTTTGATCGTTTATGCCTTTCAGGGTATCATTAACTATTTTTTTTTTCACTTTTCTTTTACATATATACATGGAAAGATCCTTAATCTTAATTATAATTATTTAGATGATGAAGAGCACTTCTCCATTACTTGTGATATTTTGCTGTATATTGGTAACAGTTGTGAAATCTGAAACATGCCTTGGGAACCACGAAAAATCAATCTTATCTGGTATAAAATCTTCGATAAAGAAATTAGAAGAAAAGTTGGCAGGTAGGATACAAGCTCATGTATATACAGCTTAGCTGACAATACATTAATATATCAAACATGTTACAACTATTAGACTTGGAGCGATTAAGAGCTTGAAATGCTGACATTTAGATGTTATTAACTATTTGTGTCGTTGGTGTGCTGTCTCTGTGGCTAGTATCACATATCTCCTTTTATTCATACTTATAATTCACTCAAGTGTTTTGACGATTATGTACACTACATGAATAAATCTGTGAGTTGACAGAACATAGCTCCGGTGCCACCGATTGTAATTGCATATGTTGATATAAGCACTGTGACGACTTCAAGAAGTTTTTTTTACAGATTTGTATATTTCATTGATTCATAACGAGACGAGACTGTATTTCTTAAAATATTATAGAGGAGATGTCCTCGATGCAAATCTGCCCAAGTGATCTTAATTGTAACAGGCACAAACTTCGTACAATGTAAATGAAGCTGTTATAATGGATCTCAAAAATCTATCAAACGAAAAGAATTTAAATTTCTTATATTACGATAAAAGGTTTTATCGCGCTATCCCTTTTCTATACAAGTGTACAATTTCTAACTGAATTGGTTGAGGAAGATGTAGCCAAAAACGTGAAAATTCTTTTCAAGGATTTTTTTCAAAATAAATCAATATTAGACTTAATCTAGAAAAAAGATCAATTACAAAGTACTTATATCATCTAACAGGTTTTGATATCAATATTTTTAGGAAAATCGCCGAGATGCAGAGCTGGATGGAAGGAATTCAAGGATCATTGTTATTTCTTTTCTACTGACAAAAAACCCTGGCAAGAGGCAGAGGTTCGTGTTAAAAGACGTCTTATTTTGAACATGATAAATAAAAAATATAGTTAGAACGGCTATAAAAATATTTCAATAAAACTTTGAAGGTCGTGCAGTGACCTGAAAATGTACACATGTCTGGTGGATAGTTGTCTCATTGGCAATACTATCACATTTATTCATTTCTATAATGATGAGTTTGAAAGGAGACGTCTTTTTATTTCCTTTACCAGTCATTCGTTTTATTCAAAATTCCAAACGGGATATACGTAATACCATCTACAAACAGTTTCTCTGATTAATTTACACTTCTCATGAGTGGAAAATGGTACCACATTTTTTTTCACGGTAGAATCATCAAACTTGGCAATAAAATACCTCTGGTGATAGGTAAAACAATACAAAATTTTTTTAATATAGCTCGCCTGGTTCGAGTGAAAACAGTGCAAAAATCCTGTAGGATATTATTTCTCCCATATGCTTTTTGATTTGTCCCCTAGGATCTCTTTCTCCATTTGGATTTCTTAAATCTCCCATCGGATTTTTTTTTATCCCTTAGGATTCATCTTATTCATTATGATTTTTTTATCCCACAGAATTTTTTTTTTGTAAATCCCTTAGGCTTTGATTATGCCTATCGGAAATATTTTATCCTACAGAAAAAAATATCCTGTAGGAAATACCTTTTTCTCTTTAAGTTTTTTTTTGTTGTCCAAAGGGAAAACATGTTTCCTGTAGGATATTTTTATTCTCCTAAAAGATTATAAATCCAATTGGATTTTAATATCCTGTGAGATATTAAAAATATTCTACGCGTTTATGCCTTTATCCTATAGGATTTTAAAAAATCGTATGGGAGAAAATAATATCCTACAGGACTTTTGCACTGTTTTCACTCGTATTGCAGAGCCAGGCGAGCTGTATAAAAAATGTATTGTTTTACCTATCCCCAGTGGTATATCATTGCCAAGTTTGATGATTCTACCTTTTAAAAAATGCGGTACCAGTTTGCACTCATGAGAAGTGCGAATTAATTCGAGAAACTGTTTACAGTTTAATTTTCAATGAAAAATGTTAACTTTCAAACTTAGAGGTATCATATTTATTTTCGAATGGTAAGAGAAAGATCGGTTGTGTTCAACACATCGACTTCGGAAGAGTACTACCATTTCTTACGATCCTGCAGATATAACATTTATATGGTCCTTTGAAGTAACACTCAGTATTAAAATATAAACATTCTTTGAATGGCATTGCAGTAAAAAAAATTGTTTACAGATAACTATTGCAATTCATTTTTCACAAAAATTCTTTGTGTTTTTAGAGAGAGTGTCGAAATCGAGGAGGGTATCTTACACAAGTTACTGATTCTGCAGAAAATTCCTGGATTGTTTCTATGATTACGAGTAAAAGTAAGTTTAATCCACTGTTTACTTTTAAAGAAACTGATTTTACCGGTTATAATTATTGATTATTGAATGGGTTGTTAAGTATAATAGATGAATCGTCACCTGGACTTCTCTCATCCGGCAGTAAAACTAAATGCTAAAGAGGGGAGTGTTTGTCACTTGACTTTAAGCAAACAACAACCAAATCAATCGTTCAACTCATTGTCAACGGACACCTCATATATCTCTGATATTTAATAACTGAAAAAAAATATTCGTTATGTTTGATAAGTGGGACATTTTTTTAATATCGAATTTTCGGTACACTAATTTATTTGCCTTTTTTTTTTATGAAAATGCAATTTAAGTTTGTAGGATTTATGAGTCGAATTCAATAATAAAGATTTGATTAACATATATTTTGATGCAATTTATTACAAAAATATTTATTATATTCAAATTCCGTACTTAGGGTAATGTATGTGCTTACGATTTATTAAATTTTTGAATTTCAAAATTAGGCATTTTTTTTAAACGACTCGTATGCTTTCAAGAATTTACACTGTTAATTAACTTGTGTTGTATAATGTTTGTGGAAATAAAACAAGACTTAGTACAAAAGTTGAATTGTTATTGCACAATTGTCATATAATTTTGTCATTTATCTCATAATGCCTGGAACTTGTTTTTATTTATACAGAAGTGATTCAGCAGCATTATTGGATGGGTGCTACAGATTTTAAGGAGGGTGATTGGAGATGGGTCAATGATTTGTCTAATTTTAAAAGTACATTTTACCAGTTGGAATTCGGGTCAACCTGATAATTATGGCGGTAAAGAGGACTGTGGTCATTTCTGGCATGGATACAACTATAAATGGAATGACGCTGCATGCAACCACGCATTTGGGTATATTTGTGAGAGTCCTCAGGTATCTATTATTAATTACTTGATCTTACATATCTCTGTGTAATATTTGAATTAATACCATTTATTTTATCAAGAGCATTGCACTAAAATGATACATCAACAGCAAATCTCTATACATATTAATTATCTTTATATGCTTTAACTGGTTAACGATGGTCATCGATAAATCGTTCAATTTGAATCGATGTATGGTCCAACGTATACTTGTCAAGTACAAAAAAGTAATGTGTGAATGTTATTACGTTAAACCACGGTTTTAAAGTTGCAAAATGAGTGTTGTAGATATGAGAATATATACATAATCGCTCTCGCGTGTTTTTCTTGTCATTTCCTATATGAAATGTATTAACTATTTTCTTTTAACAAAACTAATCTATTTTCATTATATTGTAGGATTCTAATTGTCTTTCGTACTCAAGACTATTAAAGAGTGCTGTTAATGGAAAGTAGCAACATCTAATCTGTCGTGAAAAAGTAAAAAAGAAATAAAGTTTGATTCATATTTGATTTCTTTGAATTTATCTATTGCTATTTATGAATGTAAATTCATTTAAAGATTAAGTATATGATGTGTGATGTGGGTAAGGTTTCCGTAGAAAAGTTTGGTTATCCCTCTAGCTATTTGCGATCAACATGGATTTTGTGATTTAGGTTTCGGTTTGAAGTTGTCAGTTTCCTCTTTATTTGGTATTTTGTCCAATTAAAACTTGTTTTCGTTTTTATATGGATGTTATGCATACTATCGTCATTTTGTATCCAGATATCCTGGTGTGCTGCTGAATTATATTTAATAGCAGGGTCTGTCCGATTTTCCAATCTTACCTTTCTATACTAATTTTGTTACGTTTTTGTCTGTTCTGACAATTTTCATCGTCAGATTTACCGACATTCTTTATTTTATTACAATGATTTTTCAGGTTTTATTTCTAATCTGTGTTTTGATTCCTCTTTTTGTTTCATTATTCAATAATTGAGAAAACAGTGGGAGGTTGGGTGCTCATACCGATACCTTCAGGTTGACAGGTGTGGAATCCAAAGTAAAACACATGAAATGCTTCGTGCCAATCTGACGAGTCAGGTCCTTGCAATTTGATGTTTACAGTTTGTTCTTGTGATGTGCTGTTACACCACTCTCCCGGGTTAAGGGAAAGTTGTGTGGTCACAAACATGTTCAACCCCGCAACATTATGTATGTGCCAGTCTTAAATCATGAGCCTTTAATTCAGTAAATGTCGTTAGTTGCTGTCTGTAGTCAAATTTGATCTTGTTCATTGTTTTGTCATAAATAAGGTTGTTGGTTTTCTCGTTTGAATAGTTTTACACTTTGTCATGTCGCGACTTTTTATAGCGGACTATATTACAGTATGTGTTTAGTTCATTGTTTAAGGCCGTGCCGTGACCTATAGCCGCTTACATCAACGCCAATAGAACTCTACTCTGGTGGATAGTTGTGTCATTAACAAACTTATCATATCTTCTTAATTTTGCTTTAAGAGGGGCGTCTATTTTACTGTCTAGGATGTATTGACAGGAGCTTTTTTATAGCTTACTATGCGGTATGTGTTTTGCTCATTGTTGAAGACCGTATGGTTACTTTTAGTTGCTTACATCTTCGTCATTTGGTCTCTGAAGATAGTTGTCTTATTGGCAATCATGCCACATCTTGTTATTTTATATTCATGCAGGGGCTTCAAAGGCAGTATGAGAAGAAACTAGTATTATCCTATAATTGTTTTTAAATATGAATGACGTCTTTGGAAGATCCATTGTATAAAGTTTGGTGACTTTGCTGATATCATCTATATTCCGTACATTTGAAATTAGATAAACAAAATACAGAGCATTATTAGTGTTATACACGATAATTACTCTACTTTTTATCATGATGAATGGGATGCCACCTGCTCACTACAGTAACCCCTACGATGTTTTATGTTTACATAAGCCCTTCATTTTATGGCTAATCTTCTTTCTAGAATTGTCAAACTATATAGAATAGAAGAAGGTGTTGTTTTGTTACAAACACCAGGTAATTAGATATAAGCATTCATAAAATTATCAAAGGTTGTTTGAAACAACAGTAAGTTTTACATTATAGCAGAATATTCCTAGAATTATAAAAATATGTCTTCATATCTAAAAGTCTGTCATTCAGTTTATCGTAAAGTATGAACAGTTACGATTTTAAACATTGTTTTTGCAGTTATGATTACTTGTTTTGGATAATTTCAGTCAGGTGAATTGAGTTGCCTCTCTTTGCCTTTAGATTTGAATGAAATCAAATAAAAGGTATATACCATGTATATATCATGTTTTCATTTTGGATTGCTGCGATATATAGTTTCATTTATTAACAAAAGGATATGTCCGCTTAACACAAAACCGAACTGACACAAAACAAAACATAAAGATTCATAGATCAACAAAAAGTCTTTAAGAATTTCATCAGAGACTAGCAAAGATCTGCAGCAACGCCAAACATAGATTTTTATTAGTTGTTATGGCTTTGAACTTGCTGCCATTAACTGTAAGTACTCTCAGATCTGTACGTAGTGTCGTTTTTGTTGTTTGGATGTACAAATACCCGTCCACGTCCACTCTGTGTTTTTGTTAGATGTATTTCTATTTGTGTCGATCTGATGAGCTGAAGCCTTTTTCAACTGATTTTCATAGTTTCTTCTTATGTTGTACTGTTACACCACTGTCCCAGGTAAGGGGAGGGTTGACGCCTTCAAACTAGTTTAACCCCGTCACTTTCTGTATGTGCCCGTCCAAAGTCAGAAGCCTGTAATTCAGTGATTGTCGTTTGTTTGTTCCTGTGTTACATATTTGTTTTTCGTTCATTATTTTGTACATAAATTAGGCCGTTAGTTTTCTCGTTTGAATTGTTTTACATTTGTCATTTCGGGGCCTTTTATAGCTGACTTTGCGGTATGGGCTTTGCTCATTGTTGAAGGCCGTATGGTGACCTATAGTTGATAATTTCTGTGTCATTTGGTCTCTTGTGGAGTTGTCTCATTGGCAATCATACCACATCTTCTTTTTTTATATAATTTTTATATAAAACATTAAGATACATTGTAACTAAAAATTATCGTGACCATGTTTCTCTGCGGCATTGACACCACTCGATTATTGCAACCAAGTACTACCGCAAAATTTTTGTATGCTCAACACTTGGTTGAAATTTGGAAGATTCCCATGTGTGATGAAGAGGTTTTATATTGATACAGCCGATTAAATTGTGAAAGGAAGGACTTAACCCTCTTTTTAAATCTCGATCAGTGTAATAAACCGTAAAGATGTTCACAAAAGAACAGACAATAAACATCCATTCAGAAATATCACTAAACTACAATTGTATACAATACCGATATAATAGACATTTACAAATTATAAATTCTCAAAATATATTGTATCATAATAATAATGTTCACACATACAAAAACCTAGATCAAATAGAAGGATCAACTGAATAATTGTTGACTGCTTAACGTCCAGTGGCAAATATTTCATGAATATCCAGGACAAATAAAACTAAAAAGGAGACAAAGGACATACGTCAATGATACAGTAACCATTGGAAACAGATTACCAAAATATATCTAGTGGGCAACATACATGTAGGTATAGTTATAGGTCATGGGAAGTGTGTTACAAAATGTAAGTGTACAAAAAACTGTCATTTATTATCTCAATAACTGAAAAAGAAATATATTTAGGATCACGAATTATCTGAGAAATTTTAAAATTCAAACGTGTCGCAGTATATATGTTACAGTGAATTTGTATAGTCCGGAATTGTGTGATTTTTCAGGGATTTTGCTCATCAGTGATTATATATAATCCCTGAAAATGACCAGTGATATTACATAATCACTGAACATTCAAAAAAATATTTTACAAATTCCGTGACACGATTTCATGTATTATCAATAACACAAAGATCTTTGTTTGATAAAAAAGTAAATCAAATATAGACAAATAAAATCATGTGTATTTTTTACCCTTTTAAGGTTTAAGTTGACAGTTTTCATTCCCTGTTTTTCCAGTGATATGCTATTTAACTGCGTTGAACCACATTAAATCATTAATAAAAAAAAGTATTTATTTCAATGATAGTGATAACTGCACATGTTTGCAATGAATTTTATTTTCCCCTAAACAGCGTCATTTGGCGTTAGAAAACATGTTTAACCCCGCCATATTCTTTATGTGCCTGTCCCAAGTTAGGAGCCTGTATTTCAGTGGTTGTCGTTGGTACAGGTCTGTAACATTTATTCTCTGTAAATTGTTTCGTTATAAATAAGGCTGTTAGTGTTCTAAATTGAATTGTTTCCCATTTTTCATGTCGGGGCCTTTTATAGCCGACTATACGGTATGGGGTTTTCTCATTGTTGAAGGCCGCACGGTTGCCTATAATTGCTTACATCCACGTCATTTGAAATTTGATGATATTCATAACCACATATCAAATGGACGTTCATGTTCTGCATGTAAATGCACAGTGCATGTAAACAAATACATTTGCTGTAAAAAAATTATGGCATTTGAAGGTTATTGAATAATTGTTTGATGGTTTCTATCTTCCAATGAACAAGGAATTAAAACAAATGCAAATAAGAAAAACAAACAGAACACAATCATGCTTGACAGATTGAACACAATTTTGGATGAGACAAACATTGGCTGTAATATTTTTGATACGGATTCTGTATGTTGATCGCAAAAAGTGAGACCCCAAAAATATTATAATGTTCATGAACGGACTAGAACGGATACTGCCTGGCTACGAAACAGAATAACATTCGATAAAATCAGATTCAATTTGTGAAGGACAATGTGGATGTTCTTGCAAAAAATATATAAAAGCAGAGCATGACAACGGTTAT